TATTATTATTGTATTATTATATTATTATTATTATCATATTATTATATTATAAACTATGAAAACAAGCCGCAAGGCGCGAATATTCGTATCTCCTCTTCCAAAATTGTCCATTTTTTTGTACAATCTGAGCGTCAATTAGGGAGAATTTACTGTACATTCATAGATATTAAAATGAGGCAAAGTGAAGTAGTTGAATTTCTCTGTTTCTTAATTGAAAACAAAAGAGTAAAACAGAGTGAGGTAAAGTTAAAATGGAATCAAATGGATTGGTCGCACAAATTAATAAAGTAATACGTAAAATATATTGTTTCTGAAGAAAAAAAACTATGACAGATTTACGAAAAAGAATCAATGAAATAAATAGTGTACGTGTTAAATTGAGCACTTTCGAAAGTACTTTGAATTTTGAGTACATTATAGCTTGAAGATATATAACGCCATTCAATTTTCATCACAAATTAATCATTTTATATATGTATCTCATTTTATCGTGACTATTAAATATATTAGAGCGCTCCTGAATTTTCTTTGTACGTACAATGATTTTTTATAGAAATCGGAAGATTTTAAAGTTCAATTCTAATCATCTAACCACGCTTTTAAAAAAAGAAAAAACTGAAAAACATTTCGAATTGATATTAAAATACCATGGCAATCACCAAATCGCTGGCGAATCCCTGAAATTTCTCCAAGTATGCTGCGGTAATATTTCATCCGTAGACATGATTACTACGCCAGAATTCCCAGTCATGTTCCACGATGATTCCTCAAAGTCCCCCGAAACCGAGCTTTTGATTGCACGCGCAGGCATCGCGCGGAGCATGCACCGGAAACGCGAACGACAGCCACGCAAGTGTATCATCGCGAACACGTCATTTGCCAGTTTTCTAGAGAGCAGACAACCAGCTGTCCGCTTTATGACAAACGTTATCGACACTCGGCAACTGACACATATATCGCGACACTGTCTCTCCAGTCTGTTGACTGCGGATGATGCGGAGGGCACTCGAGGCGGCCCGGGAAAAGAGATTCGTGTCGGCGACAGGCGTTTGCCATTAGTCACTTCTCTGCATCCTCTTCAGCGTCCGAGTTCGCCGTGTTCTGTAGTATTTACTTTCGAGAGCTTATACTGTTGAACACGCTTCAAGCATTTCGCCAAGTTCCCTCTGCTCGGTAGGATAAACCGGATTTGCCATTTTTGTACGGTTTAGTACGAATTTCTGGGATTTAACGTTCTAATTAATGCTCGATCGTAACATCTGTTGAATCGTACTTTGATATCGAAATTGAAATATCTCGTGAGATGTCGGTGATTATTGGAAAAATATATTATTTAACAGATTGTGCATATTCGGCTGTGGGATTACATTCACAGCGTTTTAACTGTTTCAGTTTTTTTGATATTTTAACTCACGTTCCGTGGTGTACGAAAAAATTAATGCGATCGAGAAGTAAATATTGTAAAACCACATTTAATATATAATTATACATAATTTAATTTAATATGTATCTAGTCAATCTAATCACTCTTTAAAAAAAAAGAAAAACTGAAAAACATTTCAAATTGATGTATAATGAGAAAAATTAAAGTATCTTTGCTGACATAGAATTTTAGACGACAGAAATTCGGCGACGCGTGAAACAGCGACGTTGATATATAAAATTGTAAATATCTCAAGGAGCCATTTTCTCGTGTGCCATTTTCATGAAAAATGAATCATCTACTTATAAATCATCTCTATTGTAGATTACCAAACTTATTTATCAATAAATAACGTACTCTGACATTTCGTATAAAGGTTATGTTTGAAACGAGGCAGTGTGGGTAGATCGAAGGAGGGTGTACTGATTTTCTATTAGTTAAAGAAGCCGGCGTTAAGAGTATGCATAATGTCTGCAGAGAAAGCTCGAGTGATTAATGCGATTCGCAGCTGGGGCCGGCGCGTGCAGCACCCCTGCGTTCACTCTTAAATTCGTCCTAGGTGCCAACCCCAAAAGCCGCACAATATATATTACAGGGGTTGCTAATTATCCTCACCCCCCGCCTCCCTCTCAGAAAACTGGATGTCCGTGGACGGAATGAGAGCTGACTTTAAAAACTGCCTGCCGGCACTAGACACGATATTAATATTCGAATATAAACGCGTAGGCAATGACTCAATTCCAAAAAGTTTACCTCTTCGCAAAATTGTAACATTAATTTATGCTAACCAAATTGGTATTTTTTACAAACAGGAAACAAGAATTGAAATCTACATGGTGCATGGTACATTAGCTACCCCTAAGTCCAAATAATTTATTACTGCGAAAAATTGCACAATTCACTCTAGTTAAATTTAAGAACATTGTACAAACAGAAAAGATCCGAAGAAAATGTAATGCAAGTAACAATTGCAATTTTAAGACTGGATATTAAAATATTAAAATGCTAATGATTCTATCTATTAAAATGTGAACAAAATAAATAGCTGCACAAACTTCGGACCTCCGATTAGACTATCCAGGAAAACACTCGATTCTATTTAAGCCTGTTGAATTCAAGATAGTCAATTTTTATTATTTTACATAACTAAAACATTGAGATTAATTAATACTGTTTTTGTTGCGAGAAAAGCTAAAATTCGAAAGAACCCTAAAACTTCCCTGGTACAATTTCGACGAAGAAAAAGCGCGAGGAATATCCGTCTGAGAGCCAAAGTTTCGTGTAAGAAAAATCCTCGAACCCCCGCGGGACCATTTAAGGGTTCCAAAACCTGCTTCAGCCCCACCCGTTCGCTATTCTTCAACTATCGACCATACACGCGTCGATTGTCGTGCCCTGTTGGGACTGTACCCTTGCCAGGACTTCCTTCCTGAAGGTCTTGATTAAAATGGCAAACGAAAAGTCCGAAGGACGAGCAACAGCTGGATCAGTTCCCTGGAGCGCATTTGCAGAACAGAGGCTCTCCTCTCCTATATCGACGCCGCCGCCGCATCTAGCTGTGCCTTCCGCGGGCCTGAAATAAAAGACCGTGCCTCGACAATGCCGGATTAAACTCGTACAAAGGGAACTGCTTCCCTCATTCTCTCGTTGTCTGTCTTCTCTGCTGTCTGCCTTCTCCTACTCCTGCACCGGCTCCCTCAGACAACGAACTAGGAGAGAAAGAGAGAGAGAAAGGGAGAGAGAGAGAGAGAGAGAAAGGGAGAGGAAGGAACCGTGATTCTGTCGTCGCGACAAAGTCAGAAATGATTACGCATAAAAGGTCCCCACGGAACGAGCAAGGTCTGCAGTCGGAAGTGAAGCTGAATGTGTCCTTCTCTTCAGCATTGTACGCTGGATATTCGGGAGGTCTTTCTTTGACGGTGCATCCTCTTCGTCTACGCCCCAGCGTCACGTGGATTCTTCGATGCAGCTCTACTTCAGCGCCGGTTCCGACGGAAATCAGTTTAACGACAGCGGATTCGTATGATCCATAGTTTTCTTATCGATTAGTAATGTCCACTGAATTTTTCTGTTGCGAATATCATCAAAATGCTGGGATTAATTAGTCGTGCGATTTTTAAAGTTGATTTTTATATCATTTGGAAATAAAGTTGTCTGATTTTTTCGATCCCTTATAATTTAATTCTTTAACGTCGGGTTTTGAAATTGCAGTTTCTAGGCGCACTGTGTTCTCTCAGAATGCTTCTGTTGGGAACATCATCGACAGTCGAGGATTCATTGATTGTCCAATCTTTTGAAATACTGAATCATTTTAAGTTAAGGATAGCTAACTTTTTATCCATTTGCTTTTTAATTCTTCAACATTTTAACGTTGCAAGTCTTTTGAAGGATTTATTGAAGTTAATCAACAAATACTTCTACTAACATCTGCTCGAGGATGAACAAATTCTCGACGTTGATGTTCTTCCACAGTTCAATTAACTACAGTAAGTTCTCTCCAATTGTCCCTCAGCTTGTAAACGAAAATAGACAATTTGGGAACAGGAGATACGATTATTCGTACGTTGCTCCTCGTTTTTATAATTGTTGACAATTATTGGTAACGATAAAAACGACTCACGAGGCTCGAATAATCGTATCTCCTCTTCCCAAATTGTCCATTTTTTGTTTACAAGCTGAGAGACAATTGAAGAGAATTCATTGCATTTTTTTTCATCTTCTTGAGAAATTCTTCGAAGACCTAATATAGTAATAGCTCCCTAATTCGCGCTCAGATTGCGCACAAAAATTAACAATTTGAGAACAGGAGAAACGATTATTTCAATCTTGCATCTCGTTTTTGTAGTTGTTAAGAAATGGCGGCTATAAAAACGACCCGCGAGTTCAGGAACAATTTGAGAGAATTTATTGTACGTCTTTCATCTCCTTGAGAAATTCCTTCAAGACCAAATAATTCCTCAGAAATTCCTCAGAAATTTCTCAGCTATTCTTCAGCGATTCCTCAGCAATCGCAGATCCATCAGAACTATCCAAGCACTATCCGCGGCTCACCAGAGCCGAACAAAGACTGTTGAATGCCTTCCGCGGGGACAAAAGTCCTCTCGGTTTATCCACTCCAATCAGTCTTTTCTGATCCGACGACGTTCCGCGGCGGATTATTAATCATGCCGCGAGGGGCACGAATAAATTCCGCGAAGCAGAACAGTTGACACATCGATGGCTGGCCGCGCTCTGGTTGGTCGCGCTCGAAGAGAAAATGATTTCCTTCGGAGGCCTCGTGCCAGTTTTTGCGGGTCAGGGACTGTCCGCGGGTGAATGGGGGTGAGCAGATGCGCCCGGATGCAAATCGTGGATTAATCTCGCCAACCCCATCCGAGCTACGGCCTGATCGGGGCTACCCCTGACCCCTATTGCTGCCGGAGGGGTCGGGCATCAGCATGGTTTGCGAAAGCTCGCATGTGTCCCGGACAGGAGTCACTCCTTTCGCAGCCCCTCGGTTCCACGGATTACGAGGATGTTCGCGAATCGCCCGCAGGTATCGCTATTCGGCGTCGGCCCTTCGGTTATGCCGATCGCAATGAGCATTTAATGCGGAG